TATATCATTTTGGGGTCAAAAAGTTTCCAGTGTTTCCATTTTGGGGTTTTGCTGAGGAAAAGGTTGGGAAGCACCAACTTAAGATGTGCTTAACCAGTTAATCACACCTTAAGTGTATGTAATGTGTGTCAGGGACCTCAGGGTGAAAACCTGGCTACATTAGTAAGGTGCAAAACTCATGTGCGTTTCGGTAGGGCCAGAACTTCATCCATTTATATACTCAGGGTTGGTTAAAGTAATTGGAAAGACTTTAGTGGGTTGGATCAAGATCTTGTTTGAACACTTTCTTAAATAGTAAGGCAACATGAAAGGGAACAATGTGGATGACTACTGTTAAGGCTGAAGTTTCATTGTACTTGAAAAGGAGCAGGTATACCAATGATTCCCAACCATTTTAGCCTCAAGGCACCCTTCCATAACTTTTCTGAATTCTGCAGCATCCTGGTTGAGAGCCACTATTGTACTGTTTTAGTGTCCTATTTTATCAGATAAACCAGTAGCAATGGCAGTGTGGCAGCATGGAGACAAGTCCAGCAAACAGCAGTTCTCAACTAACTGGCTGTCTCTCCAGGCTGCCACAGATACTTCCCAGTCTGGCACAGCATACACCTCCTGGAAATGCAGATGTGTGTGGCAGTTTCAGCTGGTGGTGGCAGTGGGGGTGCTGTGACACCTCAGTTGGGAACCACTGATATATATTGGAAAATTAGCAGTGGTTCTTGGCACTTCATGTTGGCCCTCATTCCGGAAACCTCCCATCCACAAGGCAGTATAGGAAGTCCAGCACTGTTATGAGACAACTGCAGACTCGTGGTATTTTATATAAAATGGGTAACTACATGATTGTTTTTTGTATATGACTTTAGTACCCATGAAGTACATGGGTTAGGAGAATAGGCTCTCCATGAAAGGTGTAAGCTAATCCTAGTGTATGACAATGCAAGCTACTTTCATAATGAGCCTTGCTTCTGAAGTGAGCATCTACAAGCGACAGCATAGCTCGGTGTCCTTGACCAGTTTTCCACCTGGTATTTGAGATGGTCAGGTCTCGTATACAAAACTTTAAAAAAAAAGTGTTTTTTGATATTAGTGCTTTTTTTCTAACTTTTATAGTAATCATTAAAAGCATGTCATGAAAAATGCACTCTGGCAGAATTAGTACATTTTGTTGCCACAATCTCAGTCACTTTTTATATAACTTGCAGGTTAAACAAGGGCCCAGTTTGACACACGTAATCATATAGCCTGGGGTCAGTAAACTTTTATCACAGCAGGCCACCCTTTGCAACCTGTCCCCTGCCATGCTTTGCAGGTCTGCTCCTTGGAGCACCTGGCTGCTTGTGCTTAACCTTGCCATTGATCCCCATCTTCTGTGTGGCAAGAGTAAACATGCATGGTGGAACACTAGCCCTTGCAGCAGAGGAGAGCGCAGTGGAGGGGATGGGTGCTGTGGCACAGCTCTGTGCCACTGATTTCCCCCTGTGCTGGGTTGGACCTCTGCAGGTTGAATGTGGTCCACAGGTTGCCAACTCCCAATGCAGCCATTTTTTTTAAGCGTAGGAATTGTACCATTGATTCAGACTGGGTGTCTGGCTGAATTTGGGGTAATACATGGTTTATTGTCATTAAAAACACGCTGCAAAATAAATATTTTAGTCTTTTTCTTTTCCAGAAGTTCAATTAATAGAGCAGCAGGTCAAAGTGGGTACAGACATGTATGTCAAGGGATTTGCAAAAATCTAGAACTCTTGATTCAGAAATTATTCCTTTTATTAGATCAACTAGAAAATCACAAAACAGAATTATTTTTCTGCAAGCTTTTGGGCTCAAAGGCTTTTCATCAGGCTCTGGGAAAATTAAAGATGGTAAAAAGGCCCATAGGTAGGAAATAAACTTCATTTTTGCACAGAGGGAGCTGGAGTTGGAAAAGCTGTCCTTCTGGGTCTATGAGTGTGTCTCTGAGTCTCTCTCAGAGAGTGACAGACATTCTCATGGACCCAGAGGGACAGCTTTTCCATCTCCAGCTCCCTCTGTGCAAAAATGAAGTTTATTTCTTACCTATGGGGCCTGATGAAGTGCCTTTGAGCACAAAAGCTTGCAGGAAAAGATTTTTTTGAGAGTTCCTAGTTGGTCTAATAAAAGGTATAATTTCTGAACCAAAAGTTTTAGATGTTTGCATTTCTTTTTGTCTTAGACAAACACGGCTACCAAATATATCCCTAAACAGGGATGTATATATATTTTTTAAGTTGCCACTTACACTAGAGTTTCAAATAAACGTATGTAGCCTTGATGAAAATCTTTCTAGCTTCTAGACACTTTAAGAAGCAGGGGGTCACAGACCCTGAAACATCATAATATTACTCCCAATCCCCCAGTGCATACTGTTTACACGAACATTTGAGCTTCATGCAGTGGGGACATTGTTTCTGTGAACTTTCAATGGTTTGTAGGTTTTCAGACACCCAATGCTTTAGAATATTCATAACTATGACTATATTGTTGTTTATAATGAAGACTTTTCAAATCTAAAACCACCAAACATTTAACAGGTAAATAATTGAATAGAGATGGCAAGTTAGTTGTGTATGGATCTAACCCTCAAATTAATAAACTTTTGGAATGGATACGATGATATTTTAAATGAATTTGTATTTAGAACAATTAGATGCTTTTTTCCATAAAACTTATGTCCAGAGAGAAGGCCCTAACTTGCCTAATGTGATATAAATGCTTATAAGCAGTGTTTGTGTTACTGTTAATACTTGATTGCTTATAGCAGTGGGGGCCAGCTGTTTTTTGGCAGGTGTGCTACAGATTAGCCTTCCACCCTCCCTAAGTGCAACTGATTTCTTTTCTTTACCTCATCTGATGCTCTGCTTTCTGATCTCTGCCCTGTCTGGTGCTGTGCTGCCTGTTTCCCCTCCAGTTTGCTGTGTGCCATACGTACAGGCTCCCCATCCTTGGTGTTACAACAAGCATTTGATCCTATACTTTTATTAGAAGATGATTTTCCTGATGACTTTTCTTGTCAGGTAATAGTTTTAGTTTGGTAGCTGAGATGTATTTTCATTTTTGTAATAGCTTTGCTAATGTAGTTTTGGTGGAATTGGAGATGTTTACTTTGCTTTGCCTAGGAAATAACCAAGTAGAAGATGAGTAGGTAACGTTTTCCCATAATATTCAAGTGTTAGATTGTTTGTTCCCGTATGGTTACCTTTGATGTGTGCGCGCCAGAAAGGATGACAAAACACAGTATTGGCCAATGCTATGCAAAGGCAAGAAAGAAAACAATGCATGTGAGTAAAGGACATAATTGAAGAGGAAATTACATTTTCAAATTCAGTAGATTTTTATCATTTTAAGACTTGAAATTTGCTTCCTTTAGGAAACTTTTTATTTAGGGTTGGGGTTTTTTTGTTGTTTCTTTTCATACTTAGTTCTTGAAGAGTATAGAGCACTATAAAGGTTTTTAATTTAGTCAGTAGTATTGAAAATAAAATAAGAGCATGTTGTTTTCAGGATAACATCTCTTGGTGTAAGGAGATTTCATATCTTTCTAAATCTGTGTTGCTGATATTGCGCAAGATTGTTATCTATGTGAAAACTAGAATAGTTTATTTTGCCATTGGACAGTTATCAAGACTGCAGTTCTTTGAAACTATAGCTGATTGTCTTCAGAAGAACATACTTATCAATAGTGAAGTACAAGTGAATTAATTATCAGTCAGTTTTGCCAAAATTTGGGTACGTTTTTGAGAACAGTTACAGTCTTGCTCAGATTATGTCATTGTGAATATGGCTTGATTGCTCGGGCTTGTCTCAATTTAAGAAAAAGTGATTTGGCGTCCAGCGGGTGCATCTACACGAGATGCTAACTGCACAGTAGCCTGATAATGCTGCACAGTAGTGTGTTGGGCAGAAACCATGCTAATGCGCTACTGCACTGTAGTATTAGGTTACTGTGCAGTAAGCGTCACTAAAAGCCTGTGTGCTGGCACTACTGTGCAGTAACTATGGTGCATTAATAAACATGTAGATGCACCCACTGTCCCCAAAAGATAGTGAAAGAGTAAATCTGGGCTTATTGGGAAATGGTTCCATGTTTGAAATTAATAGCAAAATGCAATTTGATCAACTGCACTACTTACATGTAGAGAAGGAAATAGCCTTGTTTTTCTTAGCGTGTAGTTTAAATTACATTAATCAGCTTTTCGTAGAAAACAGCTAACTTATCAGTTTCTTTTTGTTGGGTAATTATACTCACATACTTGTGCAGTAATAGGCTAGCGCCTTACTGTTTTCTGTTTGAGCTGTCTACTTGCATATGTTGAATGTTCATATAGAGTTCTTAATTTGATACATTTGTTTTAAAATTATTGTATGCCAACAGATTAATGTAAATATAGGTCTGGAAGTTAGCAGTGGTGCCCCCACCATCCCCTTTTATTTTCAACTTAACCATGTATGCAAAGTCTGAGGTCATGACTTGTAGCTGAGCATGGAATAACAGATATTACTGAAAAAATTGGAATACTGTGGTTACTAGAAAATAAGCAGTGCCCAACATCTTTAAATGTGAAGAGTCACAAATAGCTTAGGTTAATATCTCCATTCCATAAATTTCATACCTGAATGTCTACTTACATAATTGCTGTGCTGTAATATAATTGTCTTAAATTTTTTCTATAGTTAAAAAAGTAAATCTGGTTACAGAAATCTGTTTCAGATGCAAGAGCACTAGGGCAAGCAAAATTCTAGTTTCTTCAATGAAAGTTTTTCCCCACTCCATTCTCTTCCCCCTCCATATAGTCTTTTAAATCAACCTTAAGGGGTTTGAATGCTTTCTTTTGTTAGCTGAGTATTTCAGCATAGTTTGAATTGCTGGTGTCGTATCAATTCCATCATATATGGTCCTCATAAATAATTTTGAAAATATTGTAACCTACTAGAGTATATGGAAGTTAGAGTGTACGGAAGTTAAAGTTTTCCTTGTAACCCATAATTGAATGATTTTAATATTTTCTTTTTCTTGACACTTGACTTCTGTTTTTTGTATTTTGCTTGCAGGCTCATAAGTCGGTGAACTTTGTTTCAACTCTGCTTCAGATTACTATGTCAGAGCAGTTGGATTTGCCAGTGAGACAGGCAGGCAAGTTTTGAATCTTTCTTTTTTTTCCCACCATTTTGACTAAGTATATGTTCTATATGCTACCTACAAAAAATTGCAACATTAAGTGTTCTTTTAACAAAGTCAAGCACTCAAGCTAGAAATGCCATATTTAAGACCTGGTCCTACACACTGAATTGTGAGGATAAAAAGATGTCCAGTTTGGTAAAAAGATGTCCAGTACAGACACGTCTGTGCTTTCAGTGGCTGGTGTTTTCTCAGGATGTAGTTTGTGCTTTACTGGAACAGCTGCTCCTAGGAGTTGCTGAAAGCATAGGTGTGTAGGCTACTTTGTTGCCATAAGTTCTCCTGGTAGAGCCAGGTAAGTATAGAAAAGGCCATATTGAGTCTTCCAACTAGTAGCTTATTCTGCTTGGAAGCATGACACAGGCTCAATTTTTTGTTGGGAAGGATTGCTTGGGAAGAATGTTGTACTTCATTGGGAAAGGCTATAAACTTATCATATTAAAAAAAGTGTTAGGAAAAGGATAAATTTTGCTGTTGGCTTCAAAAGAAAAAGTTTGGTCTTATTTTGAGTCCAGAAATAAGAAACAGTCTCTAGAGGTTCTTCGTTCTGTTGAAGTTAACAGCTTTCTTTTACTTTTGTCAAATTAATTTTGTTGGAACTAATTATCCTGCCAACCCTTGCGGTTTTCTGAGAGCCTGGTACATATCCTAAAGTAATTTAGTTTTCTTTGTGGGGTGACCAGAATAGCCTATGGGTACAGAAAATGAGTAAAAGGACAGTAGAAGAAATAATTGTAATTAAAATTCAGTTCTAGCAAGCTGATCTATGCAGGCAGACTGTGTTTGTGCATATCCACTAGCAGAATTAGGGTGCATGTCATCATTGCAATACAGAGAGCTCTTTTAAAGGCATATGCCCTAAGGATTCTTTATCATAGTGGAAATGAGTTAAACATTTGCAAACATGAAGCAGGGAACTGTACTAGAGGAAGCGATCCTGGATTTCCTTTTCACTTGTAAAGCACTGTAATCTAGATTTTGCCACGTAAGCAATTTGAATTCGGCTGTCAAAGAGCAGAAGCATGCATTTGTGTCAGGAGCATAATGTCTGCTGTGAAGAGTTGTAACCTAAATTATTTGTATGGAGTAACTATTGTCTAACTCACTTGAATGCAAAGCAGACTCAAATCAAACAATTGCAGTATAAAGCTACCAGATTTTTTTTTTAAATATAAAAAATATTTGCCTTACAGAGAGGTGATGTTAAGCAGTATTTTTAGAAACAAAAATAATTTCAAAATACTTATAAACGGAGCTACTTTAGAATTGTTTTAAAAAATCTATCATTCTTATGTAGAAGCAATGGTAGAAATAGTAGTACTCTGGTGCTCAAAAACATTGTCTGAAAAATAATCAGGTGTTGAAAAGCAGATTTCAGAATTATTACAGGTGCTGCATCTGATAATTGGAGGGGAAAATGCCATTTTGCATATGCTGTAGGTCAGCTTTCTTCCTAGATAAGTGTGTCCATGCAGTTAGTAACCAAATAATAAAGGAATACATAGGTAGCAGCATGAAGATTCGATCTGTGCATACTTTGTATTGATATCGAGTTGTCTCCTTCTTTTATTTGACAGGTGTTATTTACTTGAAGAATATGATAACCCAGTATTGGCCTGATCGTGAAACTACACCAGGGGAAATTCCACCTTATTCCATCCCAGAAGAAGACAGGCATTGTATTCGTGAAAATATTGTAGAAGTCATTATTCACTCTCCTGAGCTAATTAGGTATACCGTTTTAATCTGCCCCCGGTTCTGTCATGGTTTTAGGCTATTCTCTTGCAGTTAAGAGCATCTGCATATTAAACCTCTTTGTGACACAGTATGTTTTTATACTGGAGAACACAGAATTGATGTAGGTAAAAGAAAAATTGTATCTGGTACAACATCGATGGAATTTACAGGTATAGCACCCTTCATATTGATGGGAGATTGGATCTATAAAAGTTTTTCTCTTTACACTATTTCAGAAGATAGTAAATGCTAAGCATGTGTAAAGTGGAGGAAGCCCAAATAAAGGGCTGACTCCTCTGTACATAAAGAAGACTTCCAAATTTATATAGAAACTTAAGTTTAGCCAAAACTAGTTTTTCTGTTATCACAGAATACTGTTAAAATAATGAAAGTAGGTATTTGTTTAACTGTATGCATCTTTGACTTCCAGAGTACAGCTTACTACTTGCATTCACCATATTATCAAGCATGATTATCCAAACCGCTGGACTGCAATTGTGGAGAAAATTGGTTTTTATCTTCAGTCTGAAAATAGTGCTTGTTGGCTTGGAATTCTCCTCTGTCTTTATCAACTTGTGAAGAACTATGAGTAAGGGTTGTGTTTTGGTTTTTTTTTCCCTCCCCTTCCAACAAAAAACCTTGAAAATATGTTTGTAGCAATACATTTTGTGATCTGTATGTCTAACTGGATTTGGAGTAGATACAAATGTAAAAAGTATTGAATTGTGCAGAGCATTGAATACTAGTAAATATAAGGTTTTGAATTATGTAACTAATCTTTATAACTTACCATTTGGGATGTAGTAGTTCATGTCCCATCTTCACTAAGTTGCTGCTCCTAAAAAAGTTGTCTTCATTAATGTATTTAAGATCCAAAAACTAGGTCTTTTTTTAAGATTTAATTTTCACATAGGAAATCTGCATCAAAACCAGGGTTAGAATGCTCTTCTCCTTTATCCAGTGGCTTTTACATAGGATAACCTTTCCTGCCATATGTCTCCTGAGATTGCCATGAGGAATGAAGGCTTGGTGGTACTGGGATCATGTTTAGCTCCATTGGCATGTAGGAGGCTCATTTGGGGCTGGAGTATGCTTAGTGTAGTTTTTATCCAGGACATTTAGTGGGGCTCAAACATGCTATATGCAATGCAGCTTTGAGATTTTTTTAAGTTTTTTTTGTGAACGTCCTTAACAAACATTCCCAAAATACGGAAATAACAAGTTTCCGAGGCTTATAATTGAGCTAAATCTTGATAGGCTTTCATGGATCCAGCAAACTTCCCTGACAGTAGACTGTTATTCTTGCCAAACATCTTGCTTTACATCATGGATGTACTAGGATTAATTAAAAAAGCTGGGGGAGGAAGATATGAGTATTTTTGGAACATTGCTAAAAACAACCTGCTTCATCCTCTGGAACAGCTGAACTATTTGATTATAACTTGAAGAGAAAATTAGCATGAGACAGAGACCTGGAATGGAAAGGAACATGTGCATGGGAAATGAAGGCTGTTCATTTTATGTAAATAGGGATGTACTGGGCTTAGGCTACAGTGGAAATGTCTGTTCCTTTTCCTGTTCTTGGTTAGCCCTACCCCTCTTCTCAATTGAGACCATGCACGTGGTCAACATCTGAGATGAGAAAGCATGTATGTGGCAGAGGAGACTTGCAAGTTTGGAGTTTGGATATTATGGAAACATAAAGGAACCCAAAAACGTAAAGAAATATGGTACGGTTTCAGAAGAGAACGTTTAAATTGTTTCTTCTGTAAAAATTAGCAAATATTTTTCATAAAATGGCCTGTCAGAAAGATCAGGGTTTTTTTTTATGTTTTATGCCAAATTTGGGGATTAAACGCAACAATTTTTATAAAACAGAAGAATATTTATTCCTGTTTAAGTGCAAAATCCAACACAGCCTTAGCTATTGAAATATTGCACAAACCTCCAAATTATGCATTGCTGGTGTTTTATCTGTTAGTGAAGAGTCTTTGCAAGTCTAAGACCCTTGCCAGATATGCAGGTAAAGGCACGATGGGATACCAGATGTGTGATCCACAGAATCGCAGTTCCTGCCAAGTCGCACAAGTATGGCAGAAGGTGTGATTGTGGGACTGAGCAAACTTCCCATCGTGCTGTATTGTTGGTGCAGGGGGACCAGCAATATGATCCCCCTTCCCCAGCAAATCAGCAGGCTTCTGTGGCTGGGAGCCCTATCAGTTGATTCACGTTCCCAGCCATGGGGCACACCTGGCCACACGTTCAATTAATGACATGATAGGAACCCCTGTTTTTTGTGAAATAATTTTGTGGCTTATTTCTTGTTTTATGATGCCATTAATTGTGTCGGCATGTGGCTGGGTCACAACTTAATATATGATAAACCAGTTAATCGCGTCTTAAGTGTAAAGTGACAGGGGCCTAAGCCATTTTGCTTTTTTACTGTATGTGTTTCTTTATTCTGAAAATCAAAATAAGTTTATAAATGGGGTCTGTCTTACTGTTTATCAAGTTCACTGAGTTCTGAGAGAAGATTCTCTGGTATAGAGATTTTTTTTTTTTTCTAAACCAGGGTTAATTTTACAACAGATACCACATATAGATGGTTATCAAGCAGCTCATAGGTTTAGGCTTGGTTTCAGTTGCTCAGAACTTCACCTGATGGGCAGTGACTGTTAGGGCTTGCCAGTTTTGTGATAAAAGCATGAGGGGCATGTTTATATTTGTCCTGTTGAATTAGTGTAAGCCAGGTATTTAACAAATTCAGTCCATGAAATTTCAAGTGTTAACTTTGTTTTTAAAACAAACAAGCAAGTCTTTTCTTCTGTGTGGAGCATGCTGACTTCAAGTGACTTGTTCCAGTTTGTAGTTCTCTGTTTTTCAATTAATCTGAAAATTAAAAAAAAAAAATTGAGATCTGTTAGTGTTTGTGACATTGACTTCCAAGGTGGAAGGTTAATCACTCCAGGTATTCAGGTTTCTTGCTTCAAAGCTAGCAATCCTTTTAGTCTGGAAGGCTTTTACCTAAGTCAGACTTTTCTCATCTTTCCTACTTTTGTTAATGTTCTTGTTAACTGCATCTTCAGGAAAGCAGATTATAGATTTTCTTTGTCAATAATTTAACTTTTTAGCTTTTAGTATTCTGACTAAGTGAATCTATAGGGAATTTATTTGACTTTTGTTAGTCTTAGCTCTTTAAGTTCTAAAGTAATTTTTATAAAACATGACATCTGGCACCAGATTATTTAGGTTTTTGTCTTGTGTCCTCTATTTTTGCAAATTGGAATTGTTATAACATTGATGTGTATTTATGCTCATTTTTATTAGGAGTGGTTTAAAGATGTTTTGGCACATGAATGAGATTAAGCAATTAATGCTACAGTTATAGTAGTGTAGCTGTGAATTCCTAAGAACAGTTTTACACTATTGACATTCTTAGCTAATGATGTCTTTGGTATCATATTAGATGTGATCTGGCAGTTGTGCAGTTGTTAGAGTCTCTTCCTGCTTATAACTGGATTTGGGTGGAGAAAGCTCATTTCGTTTTGTGGAGGATTTACAAGTTTTGAAAGATTCTGTGAAAGGGAATAGAGCTGTGGCTCCAGTGCAGTCTTTGAAACGGGTTGCCCTGAAGCCCTGGAGCTCTGGGATCTCCGCTTCTGAGGCTGGCAGGCTGCTGGCCACAGGTCCTGAAAGCCCAGGCAGCCAAGGAAGTGAGAGCCTAGAAACACAGGTATTCTTCAGTATTCTGTTGACACTGAGCCAGCAAAATGGCAGGAAACCAGAATAGTTTCTATTGGAACAGTGTGATCTCCGAAACATTTTTATTTTGACAAATTGGCAAATTCTGACAATGCTGCCTTGGATTTTTTCTGACTAGCTCTGCTTTATAGCCCTTATGTTCGTTAACTTCTTGGTTTTGCTCACTGTCTTCCTACTGCTCTGACCTCATTTTACCTTAGTGAACTGCGTTGCATGCATGTGATAGGGTATTCAGAATGAGTGAGTCAGCAGGAGAGTATTATGAGCAGAAGTAATATAGCTATATAGAAGAGGGATGGAACCTAAGCTGTGTCCTGCCTTCATTCATATTTGGTTGTAATGTAATACTTCTTGGGTATATGAAAAGTGAAGCCACAATCCGATGAGCACCATAACAATATATTCCTGGGTTTTAATTATACTGTATCCTTGTGAACTGCACTGGTCTATATGCTTCTATTCAGGATTTTTAATTGGAAGAGCTGCCTATAAAGCCTTAAAGCCGGCTTTATTCTTGTCTAAAGGTACAAGAAACCAGAGGAGCGGAGTCCCTTGATAGCAGCAATGCAACACTTCCTGCCAGTTCTGAAGGATCGCTTCATTCAGCTTCTTTCTGATCCATCAGATCAGTCTGTCCTCATCCAGAAACAGATCTTTAAAATCTTCTATGCTCTTGTTCAGGTAGAAGCAATTTTTATATGCTTTTGAACAGGAATGTTAGCTGAAGAAAGTTTTACTTTTTTCCTGAAATACTACACTACATTAGAGTTGTGGAAGGTTAAACATTTAAACAGTCAATATATTTATACCAGTAATGCGTTACAGTTACTGTTAAGCGCCAGACACAGTCTTGAGGAAGGGAAGCGGTGCTGTGCCCCAGGAGGGCGGCTGGGCAAGCAAAACCTCTGCCTCTCTCTCCGTGCGTGAGCGGATGGTGGGAAGGAGTGAGGGGGGACTAGCACCCATGGACTGAGCAGTCGAAAAGAAGTCCTACTTGTCTGTCCAGCATGTGGCTTCACCTCTGCCTCCCCCTCCCCGCACAAGCAGATGGAGGGGAAAGAAGGAACTAGTACCCATTAAAGATAATGAGTGGTTGAAAAAAAGGCCTGCTTGTCTGTCACAGCATGTGGTTCTGCTGCCCCCCCCCCCCAAATGCTGTTGCAGCCAATCCCTTGCAGTCCCATAGTGACACCAACAGCCCGCCG